CATTTACCGAAGCACTCGAACAAATGCCTACATATGAACGATTCATGAAAGAAATTCTTACCAAGAAAAGAAGGATTACCGATGAAGAAACTATACATATTGATGCAAGCTATAGTGCAATCATACAACGAACACTTCTACAAAAAGAAAAAGATCGAGGAGGAGTTACATTACCAGTCAAAATAGGAAATGTAAACATTGGAAAAACATTGAACAATCTTGGCTCAAGTATCAACCTCATTCCGCTCTCAATTATACAAAGAATTGGTGACTTATATATGAAGAATACTAGGATGACTTTGAAGCTAGCCGACAAATCAGTCACAAAGCCATCTGGTATTTCCGAAGACGTGCTCATCAAGGTAGATAAGTTTCTGTTCCCTATTGATTTCATTGTTATAGATATCGAAGAAGGTGACAACGTGCCACTAATTTTGGGGCATCCGTTCATGAAAACTACCCGCATGATGATTGATATTGATGGCGGTTTAATAAAAGTATGTGTTCAAGATGAAGAAGTTAGCTTCAACCACTTTGACGCCATGAAACATTCCAAGGACAAAGGAGCTTGTTTTCAAGTTGATGTAATTGATGAAGAAATTATGAAAATACAAAAACAATTACACTTAACAACACCATTAGAAAGAGCTCTCACATATGTTTTCAATGTTCTCGATCCAGAGGAAGAAAAAGAACTCAATGAATGCTTAACATAACTTGATTCAGCAAAAGAAATACCACTAAAGGAAGCAAGGACCGAAGAATTGAAAGAAGATTCCATGGAAAAGAACGCCAAATTGGAATTGAAATTGTTACCAGAGCACTTGAAATATGTGTTCCTTGATGAAGAATGCAAGAAACTGGTAATAATTAGCAAATTTCAGACCAACCATGAAGAAAAGAAGCTCATCCAAGTTCTTAAGAAAAATTAAGGTGCAATTGGTTGGGTGCTATCAGATTATAAAGGTATAAGGCCATCATATTGTATGCACAACATCATGATGGAAGAAAATTACAAGCCAATTTCCCAACCACAGCGGCATTTGAATCCAACAATGAAAAAGGTCGTACGCAAAGAGGTAGTAAAACTGTTAGAAGCAGGAATGATTTATCCAATTTCGTATAGTGCCTGGGTAAGTCCTATGCAAGTAGTACCAAAAAAAGGTGGTATGACGGTGATAACAAACGATAAAAATGAGTTGTTTTCGACACAGACCGTAACTGGATGGTGTATGTGCATTAATTATAGAAGAATCAATCAAGCAACAAGTAAAGATCATTTCCAAATTACGTTCATGGACCAAATGTTGGAAATATTATCCTGACAACAGTTCTGTTATTTATTAGACAGTTATCAAACAACCGTAAACCTAGAGGACCATGAAAAAGCAACCTTCACTTGTCCATTTGGTGTATTCACATATTGAAGAATGCCTTTCGGTCTATGCAACGCACCTTCAACATTTCAAAGATGTATGCAGGCCATTTTTTCATATCTGATCAAAAAGTGTATCGAGGTATTCATGGACGACTTCTTCGTGTTTGGAGAATCATTTGAATTGTGCTTGAAAAACTTGGACACCATACTGAAATGGTGTGTGGAAACGGATCTGGTATTGAATTGGGAAATATGAAATTTTATGGTGACCTAGGGCATCATCCTTGGGCATAAAATTTTAGCCAAAGATACTGAAGTAGATAAAGCTAGGGTTGATGTCATTGAAAAACTGCCACCACAAACCAACATCAAGGGAATCCGAAGTTTCTTGGTCATGTCGGGTTGTTTCGATGATTCATCAAGTATTTTTCAAAGATCACAAAGCCGTTAAGAAAGTTTAAAAGAAAAATTAAATACTGCACCCGTAATCACTACAACCGATTGGAAAATCAATTTTGAACTCATGTGCGATACAAGTGATTACACGATCGAGGCTGTTTTAGGACAGAGAAAAACCAAAGTTTTTCATGCTATACACTATGCAAGGGAAGTGTTAAATGATGCACAAGTTAACTATGCGACCACTGAGAAAGAATTGCATGCTATAGTGTACACATTAGAAAAATTTCGGTCTTATCTCATAGGGTTCAAGATGATTTGCTAAACTGAGCATGAAGCGATCAAGAATTTGATCAATAAAGCAAATTAAAAACAAAGAATAATCTGATGGATGCTCCTTTTACAAGAATTTGATTTAGAGATCTGTGACAAGAAAGGAACTGAGAATTTGGTTTCAGATCATCTGTCAAGATTGGTGAATCCTGAGATTAGAAAAGAAGACAGAGAAGTACTTGAAGAATTTTCCGATGAAAAATTTCTCATGATTTAGGAAAGACTATGGTTTTTTGATCTTTAAAATTATAAGGCATCTGGTCTTATTCAAGAAGATCTCAATTGGCAACAAAAGAATAAATTTCTGCGTGATGCCACTTATTATGTATGGGATGATTCGTATTTGTTTAAAATCAGAGCTGATGGATTATTAAGAAGATGTGTTACGAGAGAAGAAGCGAGAAGTATCCCATGAAATTACCATAATTTACCATATGCTAGTCATTATAGTGGAGAATGAACAATTGTCAAAGTTTTTCAAGCGAGATTCTATCGGTCTTCTCTATTCAAAGATACATATGAACATTCAGAGAGTTGTGATAATTATCAATGGGCTGGTGGAGTTTCTAAATGAAACGAAATATAGCTACAAAGCGTGCTATAAGTAGAGGTGTTTGATTACGTATCCAAATGTAGAGGCTGTTGCATCACCAAAACAAACAGCAAAACAACAGTGAAATTCTTGAAAAGAAACATCTTCACAAGATTTGGCACACCAAGAGTATTGATTAGTGATGGAGGTTATCATTTCTGCAATGCTCAACTTGCAAGAGCTCTTGAACATTACAGTGTCAAAAACAAGGTTGCAACATCGTATCACCTACAAAAGAATGGACAAGCGGAAGTATCTACTCATGAAATAAAGAGAATCTTGGAAAAAACAGTTTCAACTTCATGAAAAGATTGGTCGTTAAAGCTTGATGAAGCTCTTTGGGCATATCGTACCACGTACAAAACACCAATAGGCCTTAATCCATTTCAAATGGTGTACGGTAAAGCTTGCCATTTATTAGTTGAATTATAACACAAGGCTTTTTGGGCTTTGAATTCCCTCAATTTTGATTCACAACAAGCCAGTGCGAAAATAAAACTTCAATTGCATGAACTTGATGAATTACGACATGCTTACGAATCTTCAAAGTTATACAAGGAAAGGTTGAAGAGGTATCATGATAGTAGAATCCTACCCAAAGACTTCAAAATAGGTCAAATGGTTATACTCTTCAATTCTTGGTTAAGATTGTTTCCCAGAAAACTAAAATCAAAGTGGTACATGCCATTCCAAATAAAGGACATCAAGCCTTATGGCGCAATTGAACTTGAGGATCCAAATTCTAAAGCAACTTAGATAGTTAATGGTCAAAGGATAAAGTTATAATTAGGTGGTGAGATTGATCGAGTTACCACCATAATTCCGTTGCATGAACCATAAAAGTGACAAAGCGTCAAGCTAAGGACGTTAAAGAAAGCGCTTTTTGAGAGGCAACCCGACTCTGTAAGTAAATATTTTTCTATTATGTTAGAGAACATTAAAGTCTCAAGAAAGAAACTGGTGCAGTAGGTTGCCAATTCTGCAGAATTCTGTGATGCTGCAGAGTTCGCTAAGCGAATGATGGAACCCAGAAAGTTTACTAACATGTAATTATGACCACAAACTGACACCACCTACTGCCCTACCAACCTTTATGTCTCGTAATAGACTCACTTTTCCAAGACTTTTTCACTTTTATTTCTCTTTAACCCTAGAAACTCTTCACTCTTATCACTTTCTCAGTTCACACTTTCACTCCATCACTTTATTCACTTGTGCACACTATTCCTTTCTCTTCTCCATCTCCAAAAGTTTGCAGCAACATCAAGTATGCAAGATCTACAAACCCTCATTATCTTTTACTTGCTATACTTCTATTTTCTTACTCTTTTAGGTTAAACTTTCCTGTCACTCTTACATACTGCTATTATGACCACTTTCTTGTGAATATTTATTGAAACTATAGTAATGAAATTCAGATTATTGTGCATCTATGGTTGAAAACTAGGTTAACCATCATATTCCATAGTGCATACATTATGTTTTTATATGTACATAATATGCACTTAATCTGAAATATATTGAAGGAACAAGTTTCAATACATCAAAATTTTGGTCTAAAGAGAAAATAGTCAGAAATAAAAAATATGTCAACCATATTTTTTCAGAAATCGCAGAGTTCGCTAAGTGAACTTGTCCTGATACAAAAAAATCAGTTTGTTAATAGAACAATTATATGTTGTTTATGTTGTTACAGGCATGTCCCCCAAAAGAGTTGTTACCTCAAAGATGCAGAAAACCACAGGGGCTAATCTTCAAGAGTGCAAGAGCCCTTTGACCGAACAAAATTTCTCAGGTATCTGGTATGAAAGAATTTTTGAAATCAATCCTGAAGGAGACTACAAATATTTAACTTCTCAGTGTGCCAAATGAAAATGGGATACGCTCTTGAGCCATCACCGCAACATAAACACTGATGTGCTTCGATAATTTTATGCCAATGCCTTTCCCTCAGCAGGAACTGCATTCTCCTTCTCTACCAAAGTTGGGGGGAATAATTCATTTCCATAGGGATTCCATTAATGAATTCTTGGGAAATCCTCTAGTCTTGAAGGAAGGACAGAAGTTTCAATATCAAGAATCCTTAAATACTGCACATATATCGAGGTGATTTCTAAAATAATCCTTTTGGAAAGGCGGAGTGTGGAAAGAAATCCTTCTAGTGTAGCAATTAGGTTTCACTGGGAAGATTTACTCCCGGAAGCTCAAGTTCTTCTCCTGCTCATTTTGCACAACATCAAGCCCAGAAGCCACATCTCCACTTTCACATTGGATACATATTAACTCCTTTATCTAATCATGGCAAGAAAGAGAATTGATGTTGCTCAAATCATTGCTGATGAAATGAGAAATGTTGCAGAAAGTGGTAAGGAATTTGAAGCAGGAACCAAAACTACTTGTCCTCTTGTGTTTCTCGGTCTCATCATGGGATTACTCATTGCTTCACGTGTGCAAATTCCAAATATGGTTCACTTTAAGATTAAAGCAGAGGTTAATGACACGTATGTGGACATATATTGCTTGGAAAAGAAAATGAGAAGAGGGCAAATAGGGAAGACTCCATCCGACACTCTGAACTATGATGATTGGGATCCGAGACTCCACAAAGCTTTTACTTACACTTGGGGTCAAAATAATTATAACCATAGAGTTGTTGTGTCTTTACATGATGCTATATAACCACCAGAGGCGTTTCAAAGTCACATTGCATGGTCTGGGGACATGCCATTTTACCAGGGGGAGGCAACTGGTTTTGGAGACAAAAATAAAGAAGAAGGGGAGGTTGATATGGATAATGAAGAAGGAACTCTTGGTGGTTCCAAAATGGAATTTGAAGCCGGTGATGACGAAGAGATGAGAGAAGAATAAAGAGGATGAAAAAACTGAAAGCTCTCCATAAAATGAGTGATATTTTAATGCTTTCAGTTTCAGTTTTTAGCACTTTTCAGTTTCAGTTTTAGTACTTTTCAGTTTCAGTTTATGTTACACACTTATCATGTAATATTTTGACGGTAACATATGCGTAACCTTTCTTGACTTGGTACTCTTTTCCAAACGGTTGGCATGCCGTATGTTTGTCTTAAAATTTTCTTCTGTTTTCAAAAGTGGTGATTGCCAAGAATTTAAAATTCTTATTATCCTCATCAAAAGTTCAAAATTGCCGAAGAATCAAAAATCTGTTTTCACAAATTCAATAAGCTTGGGTGGTGTAATATGGTGGGAGAAATGACTTTTTGGTTTTATCCAAATGTGCGGATAGTAAGAGTCGCCACCGAAATTTTTATATCCAATAAGGAAAGGGTGAAAAGAACAGGAAAGACCTTGATAGATTTTAAGTTCGGGGGGTATGTTATGAAAAGGGAAAGTGTTAGCACCCTTTTCATCCGTAGTTATCTACGGGCTCTTAATTGGTTAACTCACTTTGGAAAACTTGATTTGTGTATGTGATTTGTTTGAAAATATTTTGAAATTTCCAATGTAAGGCTAACTTTGTAATAATTCTTGTATCAGTCCTCAAGAATTTTTACAAAGTGTTTGTTTGAAAATATTTGTTTTGAAAGTCTCATGTGAGAAAATGTTTTGTTTTATGAGCAAGAGTTTAAGAGTTCTTACCCACTAAAGGTCATTCTTATTCCATTCCTTCTCCTTTAGAGATAGTGCTATCCATACCATTAATTGGTAGGTAGCCCTATCTATTGGATATGAAGAGACAGGTGCAAGGTCATCATATGGTCATCGAAGGAAACATGTAAGGATTCTTTAGCAATTTCGTAAGGGACTATCATCATATTAGTCATAGACAACTCGAGGGACTAGAGCATATTTTCGTAGGCAACTTGAGGGACTTTAAGAGACTATGATATTTTGTATGATGGTGATTTGATCGAGGGCCTTTTGCTAAAGTATCCCTACTTTCGAGGGTCGTGACCAATATTCGTAAGGCAACAATAGAGGTTACCCTAAAGGTGTAAGTGTGCAAAGTGTGTTAGTTTCAGTTATTAAGTATTGAAAATTAGCATTTTTCTATGATTGTTTTTAATCTTGCCATACAAACCCTAGTTACTAGCTGTATAAAATATAGCAGGAAAAGTAAAGTGTGGTGTAAAGACTTAAACTATTACAGAGCTTTGGGGCAGTTACATAAGTAGGAAAATGCGGGAAAGTAAACCCTAAAACTATTACATCCTGGGAGCAGTTACATAATAGAGAAAAAGTGCGAGAAAATATATCTAAGCTATTAGAATTAAAGAGTGCAACCTATACATTTTTCTAAGAAAATAAATAGCAAAAAGAAATAATAAAATGTTTTGAAAAATATTTGAATGTTATAAAACCTAAGTTTGTATTTTTGTATTTTTATAGAAAATAATTTAAATGATAATAGTAATTAAAACCTAAATTCTAATTGATTTTAATATTTAAGAAAATATTAATTAGCCTATATAATTAGTAAATAAAAAATATATCAAAAATTGATTATTGATTAAAAGAACCCTAATTCTAATTAATTTTAATATTAAGAAAAATGTTAATTAATTTAATATATCATGAAATTTAAATATTAGTTAAAAAATCTAATCCTAATTTATTAGTAAAAAATTTAGGTTAGTTTTATAATTGGTTAATTAAAAAAATAGGGTTAGAAAAGAGAAAAAGGAAAGAAATTAGGTTAAGACAAAAATAGGAAAAAAACTGCATAGGATGGGTGTTGAACCCACGTCCTCCTGGATTTTTACTACATCTCTTGCCACTATGCCAGCCGCTCGTTGGTGTTTGAGAATAGGCGCTGCATAATATATGTGAAACCTGCATTAATTCATCTCAGGAACACATTCGAATTGTTAGTTTCAATCAAAGCATCATGAATATTAAAATATGAATTTCACAAAAAAATATAAAATTGGCGATGCATGGAAGTGGTTGTTTTGGACGTGGAATTTCTTAGAAAATGACTTGGATCAACTCCTTTGATACTTAAGAAGCGATTGCTGGCGTTGATTTGGATTGAAACTGCTTGGAATTTGGAATTCGATTGCTCACTTTTTCTTGAATTTTTGTGATTTCTTGAGACTTTGTTTGGAGGAAATTTTGTGATCTTTCATGGCCTGAATGCGTTCTCTATTTATAGGCCATAAATTAGGTAAACAAACATGAATAAAATCGTTGTATTTCATGACAAAATATTTGATTTGATTTTTTTTTTGCATGGGAACATACATTTTTAAGCTAAATCTTGTGCCAAATGCAATCTTCATGATCCCTCATGATTATTTAGCATGGTTATGTGATATTGGACTCATTATTCAATTCAAAATAGTTCCCACACCTTGTATCATTTATGTGAAATTTTATTTGATTTATTTTGCTTTTAAATGAATAAAAATCAAAATCAAAAGAAATAAAAACCATAAAAAAGAATGAATGGATTTAGGAGTCTATTATGAGGCCAAGAACATGTTCGGACCTTAAAAGATAAGCCCATTAGCCCAAAAATTCAAATTTGCTCAATTTGGACTTCATGCATTTCCTCAAAATTGCCCAACTTGTACCGATCATATCTCACTCAATTTTTATCATATGAATGCGATCTTGGACTTTTTGGAGACCTCAAGATGTCCCATACAATCTCTATGTTGGTATTTTTTCAGTTGAGTAATTTATCTTGATGTAAATTTATTTGACAAAAGATGTCTTTTGGTTGACTTTTAAAATGACCTGTAATGTTTTAGTCCATATCTCTCAAATGAAGCATTTTTTGGACTCGAACTTAGAGAGACAAAGTTGTAAAGAATTGAGTTTCCTTAGAAAATAGCTTTGGTTGAGAATTTTCTGATGAAGTATGTGAAAGTTATTCTTGGTCAAAGTTCAGTTGACTTCTCCTTAAGAAAACCCTAATTTGGTAACTTTTGACTTTTGATGAATCTTGAGTTTTCTTGATGAATCATGATCAACCCTTGATCAAATAATGATTGTGACTTCAAAATATTGATGTTGACCAAAAATCTTGAGTTTTCACTGTATGTTGACCATAGTTGACTTTTTATTCAATACAGTTGATTTTCAATCATCTGAGCAGTTGATAGAGAAAACTTGTGATACAAGGCTTGAAACTTGTCATGAGGGTACCTTAAAGCATATGAGGAATCATGATATCCACTTGAGGCATTAGAATCTCAATTTTCTTTGATAAACACAAAACCCTAGTTGTAGATCAATTGCTTAGGAGAGGAGAGTTTCTCTGATCAACTTTTGACTAGTCTTGAGCAATTGAAAACCCTAGAAGCATGAGGAGGTATGTTTGAAAAATGGGAGGGTAAATTTTAGGGTACAACATCCGCCCCTGTTCAATCTTCTTAAACCTGAAGAGTTAGATTGACATGTCCGCCATTCGTGATCTGAAGGTGGAAGAGAATTGAACACTTAAGTGCCCAGAAATTTGCACTCACATGTGCACAAAGTAACACTATTGGTTGATTGTATTGTTTAAATGGGATTAAAGATGCCACTTGGAGAGGTGATAGTGTCGTCAGAGACGGGCTTATAGATGCCATCCAATGTAATTGTTGATAGGAGTATTAGAATGAGTCTACGTTCGACGGTATGTGAGAAGTATACTACAATGAGTTTGTGTCCGACTGTATCTAGCAGATGTGTTGGGGAGTGCCAGAATGAATCTTATGTCTTGATTGTATCTTAATGATGTTATAGAATGATTCTATGTCTTGGATGTATCTATAAGAGGATAAAAATGAGTCTTTGCTCGACTGTATCCGAGATCTGTATTAGAATGAGTCTACGCCTAACTCTATCTAGAAGAGGATCAGAATGACATCCATATCTGGATCATATTAGACCCGTATCTTGTATCTGGAATAAGTATCAGAATGACATCCATATCTGGATCGTATCTGACCTGTAACTAGAAGAGAATCTAGAATGAGTATCGGAATGAATCTATATCTCTAGATCATATCTGAACTGTATCTAGAAGAGAATCTTCGATTGATTGTATTTGAAAAATGTGTTTATCAGAATGAATCACTGTATGATTGTATCTTAAAGATGATAAACTATTGACAATCTCTATCTGTTCGGGAACTAACCTAAAAAGACAAAGTTAGTTTTATGCAATGGCATGATGTATGTAAGGCACTGTGTAATGATGCTCTCAAAATAAATGAGAATGTCATATGCGTTTCGTGTGCATATGTTATGATGTTTTGTAAATGATGTATGGATGCAATATGTTGTTGAAGTGTATGGTAGCTTCTTGTAACAATGTCTAGCTGGGAAAAATAATTCCATGATTGTTGCTGGGGGTGAAGAAAGTAATTCTTCAATTTTTTTTAGAACGGCCTTAATATGGATTTCACCTTTCTGTTTGAGGATACTCTGCTGAGGATGTTTGACTTCTGCTTAGGGATAGAAGCATTCTAGGATTCTTATGTACCCTGAATGGGGATAAAAGAGATGGATATTCCTCTGACACGATATCTGACCAGGTTTCAGATACCGTAGTAACTCTGTTGGGGATGACAACTTTGATTAAACTTTGATGGAGAAGAGAATTTTGTTAGGGATTTTACAGCGTTGCAGAAATAAACTTCGTTGGGGAATAAATATTGTAGACCACGTTGTCATATCCCAAATTTACCCTACCCTTATATTATATTTGGGTT